GCATAGTTGCGCCGGGTTTTAATTTCTTGGTTGTGGAAAAAACATTGCACACAAAGGGGAAAATGACGCGAGGGTAAAAAAAAGATAAGAAAAACTTATCCTACCAGCTAGAATGTCGGATGCCGCGGACAGGAAAAAGCAAACGAGCTAGGCAGAGCCGCTCAGAATCATTCATAATCAGAATTTTTGTTTTCTTTACACTAACATTTAATTTCCAGCTTTTACAATAGTTTTGTAATTTAAAAAGGGAGTTTTGTAGTCCAGATTTAGTCTTTGATAGGATGACTATATCATCAGCAAACATAAGGCATGGAATTGGTTCCTTACCCAAAAATGGGCAATCAGCTGTATCTTTCATTAGTGTACCCATCTTCCAATCTAAGATTTTAACTCCTTATACATACTGTTGATGACTTTGTCACTCACCCCATTTCTGTACATTTTGTAAAACAGTCTATTCCTCCAAATTGTATCAAAAGCTTTTGCCAAATCCACAAAACACATATAAAGAGGCTGTAATTTTTTAATAATTTTGCCATTTTTTCTTATTTTGTTATGGTAATTCATAATAGACTTGAGAACAAATACATGATCAGAGGTCCTGCAGTCTTTCTTAAAGCCAATTTGATATTTAGATATAATATTATAATCATTAAGGAACTTGTTTAGCCTGTTATTTAGAATAATCAAAAACAATTTTCCTAAACAGCTCGTTATTGTTATACATCTATAGTTTGAAGGATCATCCTTGTTACCTGATTTATATATTGGTACAATATATCCTTTACTCCAAAGGGATGGGTATTTTTCACCCTGTAGTACTGTATTAAATATTTTGAGTAAATGATGTTTAATGTACATGAAACTGGATTTTATCATCACGTTTGTAATTTTGTCAAATCCACATAGTTTGTTTCAATATGAATATGCATTGTCATAATTAATTTTGAATACACAGTTCTGTGATTGAAACAGTAGTGAAAAGCAGTGTACTGAATGTCCTTGATTGATATAAATATCTTACAAAAAAATGGGTGCCTAATTTGTTCAATTATTCTAAGGGACATAATTTCCAGCTTTATTCAAGTAATTCAGATATTTTAGTATAAAAACAAATGCCTCATCTCATAAAAAAAGTACTGCATTAAGACGTGAATAGATTCATAAAACATGCAAGATCTTGTATTTTGTACAGGTGTCTGTCAAAAATTAATGATTCACTGAGACAAATATGAACTGCCTTATTATATTCATTGTGTAAAAAAATGACAAATGTTGCAAGCTCTGCTGTGTATGCAAATCAACTCAAATAGTTAGTTGGTGTCCAGTCAACAGTACTGTTGCCTCCTGAGAATCTACATCTTCAAACACTGCAATCTTTGTTTTTGAAGTGCGTTTTTAAATTAGTATTATAAAAGCTCTATCATTATGTCCTAATAGCTGAAACAAATTTCTGTGAATTTTTATTTGTCAAATGAACTGATTGTCAAATACAGAATACATATTTTTGAGTACAATTTCCTTTCCAAAATGTGGATGTAACATAACATTTTGCTTTTTATGTATATTTACCTTCCCCGAATGATAAATGAGGAAGGGTAAGGTATAAGAGGGGAGTGTTAGTGCAATCATTTTACTATACATTCTGATTTAATATAAATACTTGGCCAAGTTCAAAAGTTGCGTGTCTAGCTCTTATATTTTTTCAGATATTGGTAAAAAAAGTAGCTTAAAATCTACATTAGTTCTACATGGGATCAGCCTCAACTGACAGACCTGGGTTCAAGCCCAGGACCCGGCTTCATTTCCCCCCTCTTTGCTTCTGTTATTTAACTGTTTGTATTTAATCCTTTTGTATAAGCAACTGATTCTTTCTATTTTTTTTTTTTTTTTGACATTTTTTGCGTTTTTTAAGAAATCAGGGCTCTCTATTCAAAGTAGTGCATGACAGCTCGCAAACCTTGTTGTTCAATTGTTTTCATTTTATTATATATTCTGATTTAAAGCGAGAGGGTCGTTACCTGCGCACACACGGGAATTGAGTCCCAAGCGACGATAACAACACACGCTAAAAATGCAAAGGCTCATGGGTAGACGCTTGTTTGTAAACAATGACACGCTATGGCAACCTGATGCATGCGTCGGTGACGACACTCCCACTTTCATAGTTCAAATTTTGTGTGTCTACCTCAAATATTTTTTAAGATAGTGATAAAAAAGTAGTTTAAATTCTGCATTGGTTATACAAGGGATCCAGCAGACCTGGGTTCAAGCCAAGGACTTCATTTTTTCCCCTCATTGTTTCTGTTTTTCACTGTTTGTATTCAATTCTTTTGTATAAGCAACTGATTCTTCCTGTTTATTTAAATTAAAAAAATTTGAAGCAGATCTTTAATCAAAGCAGTGCATGGTAGCAAACCTGAGAGAATATTTTAATATTTTGAACTATTTTTTTAATACACTATATGTAGATTCTTAAAAAATGTTAAAAGTTGCTGTGTCCAGGTTCTAAATATTTGGAGACATCTGTGGAAATGCCTAAATGTAGCTTAACATGAACATGCTGGCAGCTCTTCAATTCCCTCCATCAACTCTCTGCTATGCAATTTTCCTAGATTTATTTTCAACCGTTAATTATTCATAAATTCATAAATTTGTGTAGTTTTCTTGATTTATTCTGCAGATATCGGTAAAATATAGGTAAGGCTTCGGCAAAATTTGAAAGAGCAACTAATATTCTTCAACATGGTATTTTTTATAGATTTTATTTTTCATTCTGTTCGATCGTTTTTCCCAGTTTAGAAAATATGAGCTGGCTGGAGCCTTCATCCTTTGTCTATTTCTTCCACTAGATACCAGCCGATACCCCCCCCCCCCGCTCATAGGGAGTGCGTGCAGTTGATCATAGTTCCTGGGCTCCCTGTGCTAACAACACGGAAAGCGTTTTATTACAAAATAAAAATCGAAGAAAAAGATTAACAGTTACAGCTATTGTCGCTTTACTCTACCTACATATTTAGATTTTTCCGTCTTACAAATTAGCTTCCAAATTATCTGTTTCTGGCGTAAATTATTTATTTGTTTTGCCAAAAATTTTCTTTCTCGTATAATTCGCCTTCCCCATGCAGAAATGTTAGGCATTCTCTTCAACATGTGAGTGGGCCAATGCCAGGCCGAGCCCAGGTTTTTTCATCGATTTTGACGTCTTCAGTAGGTGTAGAGCAGAAAAAGCCAAAATCCAGCGCTACGTCGTTGGGCCGAGAAGGCGTACATAAACATAAATTGCCGCAGAAAAGAAGAAGAAAAAAGTGTATACCTGAACTTTAAAAGGATGTGCTACTACATCTGGTTTAATGACAGCTAGGGTAAGTTGAAGAGTGTTCTTAGCTCGATGTACGGCCCCCATAATGACACAAATTAGTTAAAATGTAAACACATTTTTCAAATTTGTGCAAAAGAAGCTGACGACATCTTTGATTTCAAGTTGCATGCTGGGTAGCTAATCAAAACTAACGACGTTAGACTCGTACCTTGTCCCACGAGCCTTTGCGTACAGGTCGTTCAAGGTACGATGCTATATAGAAGATAATATTTGGTAATCTTTATTTATTATTTAGTTATTTAAGACTACGATTACCAAATATTATCTTCTATATATCATATTTATCAGTCCGAGCAGCGTTTATTTATTTAAGGTACGATGCTGATGTTAGTGAGATATATTAGATATATTAGGCCAATATAGTTTTGTAATTACATCATTCAAACAATCATGACCGTGTAATATAAGCAACTGGTATTTATTTGTATTCTGTCTTTGCAATGTTTCCTTGTTCGATATAATATAGTTGAGGATGAGCAACATTTTGTAATGAAATGTCCAGCTTACAGTCACCATAGGACAAATTATTCCTGACTTCCTGACAAATTATTCCTGACTGCACAAAATAAAATTCCAAATTTTGATAAAGAAAATAGTCAGAATAAATTCATTTTGATTATGGCAAACCATACTCTAGCACCAGCCTTAGCTGTCTTCTTAAAAAACAGCTATGGAACAAAACAGCAACAACTATCAGTGTATTAGGCCACATTCTGTGTTCATTCTATATTCTGTATTCACCATTGGCTGCAAATTGTCTTTTTTTGTTTTTGACTTGTTTTATTTATTTTTTAGAAAAGTTTTTATTTTTTGTTTTCTTTTTTAGATTGTAGTTTTTTTTTTTAATTTCTTTCTGTAAGACCCTTTTTATCCTTTCCTAAGGATTTTATGCGTCTAATAAAAACAATATCAAAAATATCAAATATGCTAATGATGTTAAACATTAAAAGCCTTTTAGCTTGTTCTATTTTATTTAGATCGATTATAGCTCCGTTCTTCTATTTCTAATAGAAAACAGATAAGTAGTAGCATTTTATAACGAATGTCGACATCGTGTAAGAAATACAAATATGGGCAACTCGCAGCGGACAAACAAAACGAAAAAGGTCACCCAAGGTCATTATATTTTCTAAAGCTAGGGTGCCTTCTGGTCACAGCTGCCTTCACAAAATGGGCGCCTGCAGTACATGTAGTCATTGTTGATATAAAATGATCGATTTGTCACGACACTGTACAGTGGTTGCATTGTGTGCTAAACTATGTGACAACACTGTTTTAATGGCCCGGTTTTACCTTGTAAATAACTGCATTCTGCTTCTCGATATCGGCAGAAAAAACAGCAGGTGTAACGACTGAAGATATAACATTTCACGTTAACTTTCTGCCGAGCAAATCCGGAGCGTGGTACTAGTGGCAGTGCATATCAAACGTAAGGTGCTCATCTTGTGACTGCTTCACAAATACACACAAACTACTGCTGGAACATATACTGCACGAATGTGGGACCCCTCCTTCTTATCTGCGATTCTGTTGTTATTGCGAAAGACAACTATTTTTAATATTCCTTGTACATATATTAGCTGACGTGTTTTGAATCAACGCAACACTTCGCAGTGTCATGATATCCAGCAAGGCATCCAGAGTTTTGCGTTTTCTTATCATAGTGTCACTGGGAACTCTTGTGTTTCAGCTACTATTAATTGCGCGATATTCGGCAGTAAGGTCATACACTGATGACCTTGATAGGACTTTTGAAGAATCCCAAGACCTCTATGTGGAACACACACAAGAAAATTCTGAAGAAGAGAAAATTGAGAAATTATTGTTAGAAGAAGCAGCCAAGAACAACGCATTATTACATCCAGATCTACCCCCACCAGTGCATGCAGAGGTTAAAGACAGTGATATCCAGTCGGTTCGATTACAAGGAATTACAGACACCTACAGATGCTCATACTTAATTTCCGGACAAGGAAAAGAAATTTCTTATATTCAGGGTCTATTGAATAAGACACTGAGTGAAAACCTTCAACCCATTGCAGATGAAATGGTGACAAAGTGGACCACAGATTGCGACAAGTATAAAGTACAGAGAAAATATCCAATAAAGGCACTGTCAGACGAGGAAGCTGCTTACCCGATTGCCTACAGTATTTTGGTACATGAGGATGCAGCTCAAATTGAGAGACTATTCCGTGCAATATATATGCCACAGAACTTCTACTGTTTTCACATAGATAAGAAAGCATCTGATAATTTTAAGCAGGCTGTAGTCAATTTGGTCAGCTGTTTTGACAATGCGTTTATTGCTTCCAAATTGGAGCATGTAATATATTCAAGTTTTTCTCGTTTGCAAGCCGATATAAACTGCCTGCAAGATTTGATTAAAGTATCAAATAAATGGACATATGCAATCAATCTTGCAGGACAAGATTTCCCGTTGAAGACTAACCGTGAAATAATGACTCAGTTAAAATTATTTCATGAATTAAATGATATTCCTGGTATTCTCCCAAACTCTGACTCAATACGTGATCGAACAAGACTAAGTCACAATACATCAACAGGTCAAATTGCTGCTGGAAATGCACAAAAAACTCCGCCCCCACATAATATAACTGTTTATTTTGGATCTGCTTACAACATCATCAGTAGAAATTTTCTTAGTTGGGTGTTCACAAACAAAGTCGCAAATGATTTTTTAGAATGGTCTAAGGACACGTATGCCCCAGATGAACATTTCTGGGTGTCATTAAACAGACTTCCTGCTGTCATTGGTGGGTACCCCAATGCATCATGGGATTCAACCGCCAGAGCAATCAAGTGGATGTACTATGATGGAGAATTATATCCACCTTGCACTGGTAAATATGTTCGACATATCTGTGTTTACGGTGTCGGTGATCTCAGGTGGCTTACCTCGCAACATCATTTATTTGCCAACAAGTTTGATTTGAAAATGGACCCAGTTGTTGTGCAATGTTTAGAGCAATGGTTAAACTACCGAATAGAACGGCCAAACATTAATTGGAGTAATTTCCCTCATCACTTGTATGATGGAGGCTGATTTTTTTGGTACTGAATTGACAACTTGATAATTGTTTTTAAATTACCATATTGAGGTGGAAGGGGGGGGTCTAGGAAATTACTAAAAATTACGTGATAATCTTTTGAAAATGTTTAAAAAAAATTTGTGTTTATTTTTTTTTTTTTTATACTTTTTCACCACATTGATAGTAGTATGCTGGTTTATTTTGTGAAAGGTAAAGAAAGTTGGTTTAAGTGTTATTAGCTGACACTGAATAATTTAAATACAAAGAAGTGAAAATTCTTGACTTATATTCTACTTTTGATTTTTGACATTTCTTATTTTTATCTACTTTAGAAACATTCAATTCTGATTGGCCAAACAACATATTGCATTGTGGTACATTCTGAAACAAAGGAAATTGTTGTTTCATGGCTTATTTATTTTTTTCTACTTAACAGTATTTATATTTATTGTAACTGGGACAAATATTTGTGATTAGTAGGACATAGCAGTGCCCTGCACATATTGAGGCTGACTTTATGGAAAATTAATAATAGAAATGTGTCAGTTAGTATGTTAATAAAAAAATGAAAAATATATATATGTTAATTAAAAGGATGGAGAAGTATGGATTAGGGTATTTTACTATTTGTTTCTATGCCAAAGACATGTATAGTTAATCACACAAGACTTAAATGGCACAGCTACTATGTGTATTAAACGACTTGCCGTACTTCCCCGAGCATAAGCCCCTCTCAGAGTATAAGCCCACCCTCTGTTTTTAGACATTTAACAGGTTGAGGGCATCCCCGATTATTGGCCCAGGGTGTTTTTACTGGGCGTCGACAAAATTTATTAAAATATGCATGTAAAAAGTGTATTTATTACTTACCAGTATTATTACTGGTAATAATCGTGATTGGTACGGTAGTACGATATGTAAACCGTATTGTAATAAAATGTGTGTATTTTTATGAACATGTTTGTTTCTTCATTGTAAAAAGTGTTGTGGAAATCAAAAAGACGTAATATTTCTCAGAGACCGGCGCTGTGAACGAAAAACGTAATTTGGATAATTTTTCGTGCTTGGGAAGATGGTTACAATTTTAAACCCCCCAAAAATTATCTTTTCTGAGGGGGTCCTCTAGTATAAGCTTACCCCCTAATTTTCCCGATTTTACATGTTCAGGCTTACACTCAGGGAAGTACGGTACTTACCATGACAATCTGCTGTCGGTTGTAGGTACATTTGCATAAAAACAAATAAATCTATTTAGTGCAATGTTGTGTATATCACATGACGAATGTACGGTATTCTTCAAATGTTTCTATATGTATAGCCACACCAACCAAATCCCTCATAGAGTAGAGGTTATAGGTACTGACTACTAATATGAAAATCATGGTTCAAACCCAGCTCGGCCAACTTTTTCAATAGTTGAGACAGAACACTCTACTCCAAAATTCCAAAAAACCTGGCCAAGCACCAATCTACATGTGCACAAACCAAAACCATGGTGATTACTAATTTGCATATAATGAAAACTGTGGCTGATTACAAATCTACATATTAACAGACAAAACACCAGATGTTGAGTTGTATAAATGAACACATGTTATTTTACAATGTACTTGGGTTTATGTATAGCATTAAAAAAATGATATTATTTTAAAATGAGTTTTTATTGTTGTCTATGGAATCTGGTGTTAAAATGTCAAGTTTGTGTACATTATATGACAATTTTTTTCAGCAAAGATTTACAGTGAACAAAAAAATGTATTGACTAATACTGAAATAATCATGAAAAGATTTTGTCACTGCTATATTTTTGTGCTAAAATATGCTTAACACATTTGTTCTTTTTCAAGTGCATCTCTTAAAAGCCCGAAATTGCATTTATTGTATGCAGTATTATTGAAATTTAACCTACTGTAGAATACTTTATTTTCGCTTGGAATTTATTTTCGCTGAAGTGATGATTCCGTGAAAATAAAAACCAGCGAATATACTTTTTTTCCTTTATTTCACATTAAACTAGTCAGAAAACAGTGAAAATAAATTCCATACAAAACGCCCCAAAAGCCTTTTCAGCGAAAATTAACTCCAGCGAAAATAAAGTATTCCACAGTATTTTGACACAGACACACCTTCTTTTTTGTACAATGCAATACTTGTCAAAATGCACGAGCATGTGGCTTTAGGGAGATGATTTTTTTTTATACTGGTCTGGACCGGTTTCAGTTTGGGTCAGCCAAATACGGTCTCATAATAGTCTTTGGAAGTATTTTTGCATATATTGGAATAGATTTATAGCTACTGTAAAGGGCTTAATTATTCACTGGGTTTTAATTTTGCTTATTTCACTGACTGGAAAATGCGCTAAATTAAAACCCAGTGAATATGTAAAATTTAGCATAGAACACATTATCTAAATGATGAAACCATGAATTTAAAACCCACCGAATATGACTGAAATGGTAAATCAGCGAAATTTAAACCCAGTGAAAATTTGTTACTAGTATTTTACAGTATATACAAGGTTGTATGCGGTAAAACAGATTGGGTTCACAGAAGAACTTATTAAATATGTTAGCCATCTTGAATTTTCAAGGTGACACACTCCACTAGAGGGAGGAATGTCCAAACGAAACAACACTGTACAGGTAGACGATGTATGCTACCCTGATTCTAGAATGTTGATAAGAGAAATGTGAAACATGATCTGTTCAATTATGAAAAGTCTTGTAGTTTTTTTAGTTCCGCTGTCGACTGTGTTCAGCGGAGCTTATTGTATGAGTGAATGTCTGTCGTCGTCCAGTGTCAGTCGTCGTCCAGTGTCATCCGCCGTCCATGTCAACTTTTAATTTTTTTGACTTCTTGGAAACTACAAATCTGAGTGCTTTGTACATGTACCTCACATAGACCTCGGGTTTGTTCATTTCCTGATGATATGTTTAATTCACTAATTTTATTGAATTTTTTGGTCATTTTTGTTAAAAAGGTATATTTTTGACTTGTTGAAAACCGCAAGTCAGATTGCTTTGATATTATAGGCACCTCAGGTGGATCATATTGTTTTTTTTAATTGAAACAATTAGTGTTCTAACTCATTGACCTTTAAATGCCATTTTCAACTTTGATTACCTTTCAGAAAGGTCCATTTAGTCTGAAATTGACAAAGAAACTATAAAAAATACATGTACTCACAAAAAAAAAATTAATTTCTGAAAATTGTTCTTAGGGTTAAAGTGCCATTAGCAAGATGTTACACTAATAATTTCTATAATAATATTTATATTTATTACATTGGCATTATGCCAAGGGTGGCTATACTAGTTGGATTAAAAAATTAACTAATTGTGGAGAAAGATAACATAGTGCAACAATTACAGCCATGCACTTGTTCCATACCAGGTTAGAGGGGATTAAATTTGAAGATGTAATAGGTGTTAAAGATTTAACATGGTGACAATATTTCAGTCGGTGTATGATTTAGTTACTTATTGAATCTTACACAATCCCCCCGAGGGAAAGGAAATTAGTAAATAATACAAAATCACTAAAACACTTAATAATATAAGGTTACTAAAATAATGGAAAAAAAAAAGGTGAATTTTGTCATAACAGAAAAAAAAAGTAAAAGTTAAAATTACTGACAGCAGGTATTAAGATGTCAAGTAAGACCCTGCTTCCTGACTTCAAAGCTTTTACTTATGAACTGTGCTACTGGTATAATAATGTTTTCACTCTGTAACAATTCCATGAATTTTTTCTCTGCAGGTTTATTTTGAAATGCTGGGATCATATCCTTAGCTTTATTGAACAGTTTGGTACGCAACTCATTATATTTGTTGCATTCCATCAGAAAGTTCAATTAGTGTATGTATATGCGAAAAAGGTGTGGCAAACAATGAAGGTCAGCAG